AACCAATACATTCATCGCTCCGCTCAGAATCTAAAATGTAAATTAGCTAACATAATTGAGATTAATAATAACTTGGTCCTCAAAATGGTTTAATTCTGTTTACTTGGATTAATGATTTTTTCTTTTTCTACCAATGCTACATTTTGTATTGAAATGGTTAATTTATTCGATTTATTTTTAATTTTGATTTTTTTTTGTCCTTTTTGAAGTGAATTAATATAAAATTGAACATCTTCTTTAGCTTAAAATTATTTAAAGTAGAAAATTAAAAATATTGTATTATGCACTTATAAGTTATAATGTAATTATGAAAATGTATATTTACTTCCTCGTTTCAATAATTTTGCCTTGTACTTGAATCCATCAGACCATTTAATCATTGTATAAGTACCAATTTTTTTACTTTTAAGTATCGGAGATAAAGGGCACTTATACAAAACACCATCATCTTTAAATTGAACACCAATCCATTCTAATTATAGTAAGAAATAAATAAATTTAATATTATATTTGAAAATAAATATTTATTAACCTCCAACAATATTATATTCAGTATCAGATTTTCCATTATGCAGGGTATGCACTATGCAATGTGCATAGGAACGAGGCTCACAAGATTTATGTGGCCGTTAGGGTTTCTAACTATTTTTAAGTAACTGTTATTATAATTTTTTAACTTCTAATACCCAATTTGCCAAAAAAAATATATTTTATGTTAAAATAATATCATTACTACCAGTGTCGGTCTGGCCCACCCGGCTACCAATGGCAATGGATCGGCCAGCCTAGTTCGCAAATATGATAGACCATTGCAACAAATTGTTAAAAGACTCGGTGAATTAAATAATCATAAATCAAAATATGTGTCTTGTGATGATCACTATAGATTTAAGTTTGAAAATCCTCATGAATCCGGACCGTTGACAGAAGGATTGTTATCACCAGTGTACAAAAAAATTATTTGTAAAGACTATGTTCTAATTGCAAATGATATAAAAAATAACTGTTGTATTTTGGCTAATGGAAGTATTGTTTTAATTGAAAATGTAGCATTCAGTAATGACAAAAAAAGCCAAATGATAATAGGAAAAGAATATTTAAAAAAAACAGATTTATATACCATACCATGTAAATCTTCACTATTAGGTATATACAAAGTGTCTAAATTATCTAGAAGAAAGGCGTGGATGGTTACAGATATCATAAATAAAGGTTTTATATATTGCTCGGGTTCTCCAAAGTGGAAGGTTGTATTTCCAATACTACATACAGACACCGAAGAAATACAGTCCTTATAACAATAATCTTTATTTTGTTTTAATGTAAATAATATTTATAGTATTATAATTTTAGTAAATAACCTATAGCTTATCTCCGTATCATATAATATTAATTACTATATTAATTTGTATAATTAATTAATATATCCAGATGTATACCTAAATAAAATTGAAAATATAATAAATATTTTTGTTTTTAACTTTAAATATTTACTTACTATTTTGATCATAGATATATTTTGAATAAATTCAAAATATATAATAAATAATAATATACCTAATACAAATAATATATATAATAAATAATTATTACCTGTTATAGACAGTATTGGGTTATCGAGTTTGATGATGGTATCCAAATTGTACCAAAATCTTGGTTATTAGAAAATAATACCAAGTGTTACTATCCTAATGATTTAGGGAATGGTCCTAATGTACACAAAAAATATGATATGATGGTTAAACATTTAGAGCAACCAAAGAACAATTGGGAAATATATGATATTAAGCATATTTGGGGTTCAGATGGTATGTATGTTATATGTATAGTTGCTAAAATATTTATTTATTGTTAATAACTTATATTTCAGATGATTTTGTGAAAGCTAAAAACAAATTAATCCGTGTAGAAAATACTGATGATTCGTGCATTACAGATGATAATCTCTCTAATGCCAAAGAAAAAAGACGCATCAAATGTCATAAACAATTTAATACAACAGAATTGTCACATTATCAAAACCAAAGAAATAAAAAATTGACTTCATCTCCAAAAAAATTAATTTTAAAGAAAAAAAAAGGTGGGCAAGTGGGTGTCGCTCTGCTGTACAGTAGGTTACAAGTGGGTCATTGTATAATGGATGGTATTAAATTTGAATTCAATGATATAATATCATTGTATAAGAAAAACGATTCTGAGTGGAGACGGTATGTCCTTTTAGGTATAAGACATATTATATACATATCTATGGTATTAAAAAAAATTGACCTATAATGAATTCCAAATTAATCATATCACAATATCCATTAGGTAATTATAACGCGTTATACACCAACAACAAACCCTGATACTATCATAGATATATAGTAGATTACTTTAGAAATTTCAAGTACCCACGAATAATATTATACAATCACAACAAAATAACTAAAATCGTAATTCTTGGTTTAAATATGAAATTTTGTCTAAATTTGAAATTAAAATGTCTGTAAAAAATAAGTGTGTTTATATATTTTTTAGATTTTTTGGTTACAGTATGAATTATTTAAGAGAATCTTTGTTTTAAATTTTCAACTCTTAGTTATAAAAACTGAAAATTTTATAATTTTTTAATTCCAACGATTGATAATTTTCGAGATTTTGATAAATTTTGTCAAAATTCCAACTTTAAATGCTTATAAAAAAAAATCGTGCCTATGTATTTTTAAAATTTTTCAACTGATATTGTAACAATATATAAGAAAGCTTGTATTACATTTTCAGACTTTTTGGCCCACCAAATAAAATTTTATTGACAATTATAAAAAAAAAAACTAAAAAAATTGAAAACTGAAAATGTCCGTAAACAGCTCAAAAAGAGTCAAAATATTTTCAAAATTGTATGGTGTATAGGAAATGCTAATATAAACATTCAGTGAAATTTTCATGTATCTACAGTTATTCGTTTTTGAATTACAACAAAATAAGGAAATCGCTACATGAGAAATCGAGTGAAAATCCAATGTTGTAAAAATTTGAATTTCAAACGCTCATAAAAATTTAATTTGACTGTCCGGTAGAGATTTTTTTATTGATAAAGGTAGATAATCTTATAAGGAATCTTGTGTTTCATTTTCAAATCTTAGATTTAAAAAGAAAAATTTTTACGAATTCTTAACTCAAAATAATTTGCTAATTTTCGTGATTTTTCCATATTTTGTCAATTTTTGAACTTTAAATGCTTATAAAAAAAAATTGTGACTAAGGATTTTTAATATTTTTCATCTGCCTTTGAAACAACATATTAGGAGCCTTCTATTAAATTTTCAAGCTTTCGCAACCAACAAATAAAATTTTATTGATATTTCTAGAAAAAAAACTAAAAAAAAATGAAAAATGAAAATGTCCCTAAACAGTTCCAAATAAATCAAAATATTTTGAAAATGTTATCGTGTATAGAAAATGCAAATATAAACAACCAGTGAAAATTTCATGTATCTACGGTCATTTGTTTTAAAGTTACACCAAAAACCAAATTCGATTTTTTGGAAAATCGATTTTGCGTAAAAATTCCCGTTTTTCCTTAATTTTTATGTTGTTTTTCCCGGCGCTTGTGAAAACTACTGGAAAATGTTTACTTTTGACCCCCCAAAGTACCAACTAGATTCACTTTCCTATCAGAAAAGGTACTATTGAAGAAAATCGAAGCACTTTCACTGTCCCAAAACGTGATGACAGACACAAAAATATAAATAAAAATATAAATAAAAAAAAACATACATCATTGTAAAACCAATACATTCATCGCTCCGCTCAGAATCTAAAATGCAAAAAAAAAGTTCACAAATGGGATCATTTAATACTCTATCTCTCCCAGCAGTACCATTATTTTCTAATTCACATCAATCAGGCAAGCTTTAAATTTAATCTTTATGTACAATTTACAATGTTTTAATAGTTTTTTTTGTTAAAGGTTCTGAAACTCAAAAGAGTCAACATTTTACAATTTCCAGACAAGATGAATCAAACAACATTGACGACTATCGTGTGAATACTCAGTCTAGACATTATTATGACCGAATGAGTAGGCAGTATAATGTATTTAGCGAAGATATAGCTGAATGTGATGTACGATGTTCATCTCCTAAATCTACAAATATAGCAGGTACCTGCGTTAATAGTGTTATAATTGAACTAACGTGGCATTATGAATATGATACTTTGTACAACTTATTTCTGATACTTTAAACCTCAGAAAAATACTTATTTTATAGTTCATATTATCTTATATTATAACACATAGTTATTATAATAGTTTAATTTTTCACCCTTACACTTTTAACACAAACAAACAAAAAAAAATTCCTTGTGGAATTTCATACTATAACAAACCCACAATTTAATAATAATATGTGAAATTGTTGTATGATTTCTATACAATAAATGAAATTTTATTATCAAATAATATTTTTGGTTTAAATATCTTATTTTTAGGTCTAAAAAGTTCAAATTCAGCTCAAATGGTAAAAAGTACCCAGAGTAGAACTATTACTAAAGATAAATGTAACTGTGGTCAGTATTTCTAAGTATTGTAATTTTATTATTGTATGTGAACCTAACTATACCTAACCTCTATGTGATATAGAGCTTTATTTATTTTTAATCGAGATTAGTAATAACTAATGACTAATAAGTCAGTGGCGGCTATCCTTAAAAATATAGGTGTAGCGAAACCTTAAAAACAACCACCCACCCACCCACCAATCATGTTACTTCATGACTATTTTTGCCATAAGAGCCTTGGAATTTTCAAATATTGTATACCTACAAAAAACTATATGGCAATACCTTACATAGTCTTAACATTTTTTATGTGATGATCTTCACCCAATATATAAAATTACATTCAATTAAACTTTAATATAATGATATCATATGTAATTTATGTATGATTGTAAATTATTCTTTGTCAAATTACAAACAGGTATAACATTGTAAATTGTAATATTAAAAATTAATTATTAAATTAAATATTTTGTTAATGTAATGCTATTGGCTGCAAACTTGTGGAGAATTTCTTCATGATCCATTTCATCAACAATATCTTGTTCACAACTTATGACCATAAGGTCTTCCAATCTAGCTTGAGACATAGTCGTGCGAAGTCTAGATTTTATGATTTTCAATTTGGAAAATGACCTTTCTGTAGAAGCACTAGATAATGGAATTGTCAGAGATATCCTCAGGGCAGCATCTAGTGATGGAAATGTATTTCCCAAACCACCATTTTGGAACACTTTGAAAATAGTTTTCAAGCTACCGATATTTATTGGATTTATTTGCTTGCGCTTAGGTAACTCAAATTCCTGTTCTTGATCAGTCTCCTCTTCAAATGAACTAATGCTTTCTGTATCACTTTTGTCAGAAACGTGAAAATGTTCAGGTAGAATAGTTGTTTTCTCAAACAATTCATACACATTACAAAATTTAAGGAACTCTGCTTTTAATGTTTCTTGATCAACAAACGTTCCGTAAACTTTGCAAAACACTGCAAATGAATCATCGGGTAAAGACTTATGGTTTTTTTTAATTTCAATAATTCGCTTCTTACTGAAAAGTGCCAAATCTTTCATAACTCCAATTGTGGTATCATTAAAATACTGATTAAGATTACTAAGTATTATATCTAAGGAACCTAAGACAGTTTCTACTTTAAATTTCTCAATGGGGTCTTTGATACATTCATCAACATTTTTTTCTTTCTTCTTATGCGGGTGGTTTTAAATTCAAAAAATTCAAAACCATCATTTTCTTTTATGAAAATATTGACTTCCTTGATTAAGTATTCCATAATAGAATCATTTTTTCTGAGTTCTTGTATTAAATTTTTAGCATCATTTATAGAATTAACTCCTGCTAAAATATCTAAATCTCTAGTTTGTAATAAGGTACTTAGAGGTGACAATACATTGAATATCTTTTGGAACCACATTGCAGTCATTATAAATCGTTTAGACAAAAGATAATTTAATAGGCATCCAGCCATATGACCAACACATTGATCCTCGCGGCCTTCAGTATTTCTTGAATATTCCAGTGTATCAATCACAGAGCCAAACGTTTCTAAAATAGCTTGAAGATCTTGATCTTGAGAAGTCCATCTAGTTGTGGAAACTCTTTTCAATCGACGTCCTCTTTGTCCTGTCGAATATTCATTTTGTACTTTTTCATAGTAAGCAACTCGTTTCTTACTACCACAAATAAAATTATACAATGTCTCCATATTTCCGAATAAATCTACAGCGTCCAAACTACTACTTACTGCTTTAACTACTACTAAATTTAGTCTATGAGCAGTGCACCAAATATAAGTGGCTGATGGACATTTTTCTTTAATTAGAGCTTGAAGTCCACTGTTCTGTCCTCTCATATTCTGAGCGCCATCGTATGATTGGCCAACCATAAAATTTACCCAATCGAGGGACAATTCATTACAAATATTTTGGAATACGTCAAAAATCTGAACACTAGTAGTAATTGCTGATTCTTTAAGTGCCAAAAGCCGTTCACATATATTTCCATTATTGTTAATATACCTTACGATAAATGATATTTGTTCCTTTCTTGACAAGTCAAAAGTTGAATCCATGGAAATGCTGAAAAATCTGGACTCTTTAATTTCTAATTTAATGATTTCTTTAACTTGAGATGCACAGCATGAAATTAATTGATTTTGTCTCAGTTTTGACAAAAAATTCACCTCAGGTTTTTTAGAAGTTTCAAGTTTAGAAATATAAGATGCCAAACAAGGTGAGTATTTACTTAACACTTTAGCAAAATTGACAAAATTTCCATGATTTTTTCCTATTTTTTTTAAATTTTCCCGGTGGCCTCGAAAAGCTAGGCAATTTTTTGCAAGAACAAGTGTTATGTTTACTAAACATCTTAATACTTCCCGGTTTTCTGATTTTTCTTGGTTGACTTTTTCTTGAAGTAATGGCAGTACTGGTAGAGAAGTCTTTCTGAGTTTATATTTTAATGTTGCATTAATGTGAGCTTCTGAAGATTCGTGAAGTTGAATACTCAATACTGCTCTCGACCATGTCGAAAAACCATATTTTGTCCATGCTTTCTGTGAGTTTTTGCCAAAAAGTATACAATGCAAACAAAATAATTTATCATTTAAAATTGAATAACTTAACCAATCCCTTTTAATATTTTTTTTTCCTGGAATTTCTTTCCAATACCACGCAGTGTGGGAGCTACGGCCATTTTTATCTTTTTTAAAATGATCATGTGGTAAATCTTCCTCATTAGGTTGCAACACTCCTTTTTTCAAGAGAAAATCAACAAATTCAGATGGAAGATTTTCCAACATACAGAAAGTTGCAGGGTCATTTGATAAATGTTCATCTTCATTAAATGTACCATCTAAACATGAATATAAAAAGTATTGTGATAGACTTAACCTGTGTAATGTTATCTTTAAAGTAAAATTAGAATTTTCTTGTACAATACTTTAGTACAAACACTACATACTTTAATAAATATGTATCTTTTCAGATTGGTTAGAAATACAAACAGGCAACAGCCAATAGGTACCATAAAATATTTTTAATTCCTACATGAAGATAACAACATTCAAAGTAAAATAGTTACCTATATCTATCCTATTTTCTCTGACATGATCTTCATCATTTTGACCAGTAATTTCAGTTTCAGAATCTAACTTGTCTACAATAAAATAAACAACTAAGATTATACCACTGGTACAAAGATTAAAAACTTCATAAAAAAATGAAAAGCAAGTACCATTTATTAATAGTGATAGTTCATGTTTGTAAGATGTACTTGGTCTACTTATATCACTTTCAATATTATAATTGTGCGCTGAAATATTATAAATTAATTATTTTTGTACAAAGCAATCCTACAAATCAATGTTATTCTTGTATTATAGTAGGTAGGTATAATTAATTATGCTATAAATAAGTATTTACATTTGTCAACTATTTCAACAGAATCTGATTTCTCAGGCAAACTACTCATCTGATCAATGGTATTTATTTTAACTGAAAATAAATAAATACTATGTATTTTTAATGTAACAAACATAACATAATACTTTTTAAGGACATTTTGTCGGTTGAATCTTATTGTAAGCAAGAAAGTATAAAATATGATTCATAGGTATAATTGATAAAATCTACATTTAAAAATATATTATTGATCATTTTACAAAAATAATGATAAATTAAATCATTAACTATTATTATGAAATATATAAAATTTAATATTTAAAGTAAGCACTCACATATTATATATTGTTTAATAAATAATATCTATATAAACTTATCAATTGAATAAATTATAGAATAAAGCTTAATTAACTTTACAATTGTCAATTAAGTTTATGTAAGTTATAAAATTACCTATTATAATATATCTACTAAATAAATTGTGATAAATTACAGTTAATAAAATCAGTATCTATAATTTCCAGATTCATATAATTATGAAGATTATAATGATGTATAATATTAATTAACTTTTCTTATAATATCTTATGTCAGTACTTCTATTAAATTATTTAATGCCATTAAAGTTTTTTGTATAAGATTTTTTTAAACATGTGTTTTTTCTTAATTGATTAGAAATGCAAACAGCTAACATCTACCACAACATATTTTTAATACCTACATAAAGATAGAAGAACAATATGCAAAGTAAAATAGTTACCTATATGGCTATATCCATACTATTTTTGCAGACATAATCTTCATCATTTTGACCAGTAATTTCAGTTTCAGAATCTAATTTGTCTAAAATAAAATAAACATCTAAGATTATACCACTGATAAAAATTAAAAAACTTCACAAAAAATTGAAAAATTTGAAGTATGTGCCATTTATTAAACATTAATAAGATATAGTACCTACTAAATTTTATTTTATTTCTTTATTTAAATTAATATCAAAAGATTACTGGGCCTTACTGAGAAAAACTGGTGGACAGGGAAATAAATTGTAATAAACTACAGTTAATAAAATCAATATCTAAAATTTCCTGATTCATATAATTATGAAGATTATAATGATGTATAATCACAGAATAGTTTAAATCTAATTTAATCTATTCTGTGGTATAATATTAATTAACTTTTGTTTTATCATCTTATGCTAGTACTTCTAATAAATTATTTAATATTATTAAAATTTTCTTGTATAAGATTTAAATAAATATGTACCTATGTTTTTCCATTTACTAGAAATACAAATACCAATAGGCAATAATACCATATTATGGAATATTAGTACCATGAAATGATTTTAATTAAATATTTATGAAGATAGTAATATGTTGAGTAAAATAGTTACCTACCTATTTCAAAGATATTTTCGCTGATATGATCTTCTTCATATTTTTTTCTTATGATTTCACTCCCAGAATCCATATTCTCTATAGTAAAATAAAAAACTAAGATGTGATAACCAATAACATAATTAAAAACTTGAAAAATTAAAATATTAAAACAAGTAGGTACCTACCCTTTAGTAATAATGATAGTTCTTGTTTGTGAGATGTACTTGATCTACTTATGCCACATATAATATTGGTGTCAAGTGCTGAAATATTTAAAATTAATTAATTCTGTATTTTAAAAATCATACATAACTATCAATTTTATTTTAGTGTAGGTCACGGACTAAGATAAACAGGACTGGAAACTATAGACGGGAGGAGTGCGGGTAGCCGGAACCATAGTGTAACGCTTGTAGTACATGGACAAATGTGGCTCTATCTATTGATAATATTTAGCATTTGTTACACATATATTTATTTGCATATTATTTCTGTTTATAATAAAATTAGGTACAATAGTTTAATACATTTATACCACGGACTAAGATAAACTAAGATAACTCTATTGTGACTCTATCTTAGTCCGTGATTTATACGCACCTATTAGCTCTTAGGTATTAGCATTTAGTATTTAATGTACATTACATTTTACCAACTATATTATCCATTTATTATTCGCTAAAATGCCGAGAAAATTCTATGTGGATGGCTGTACGGGATGTTCAGAGGGAAAAAAATACACTTTATTTAAAGATGTGGTTAATTTAATTGCTTGGAATGAAGCAATTTCAAATGCCAAAATCTTAATTCGTGCTGGACACTGATGTATTAATATTTTGTAGAATGGATCATAGATGGCGTTAAAATCGCACTTGTACCAGAAGCGTTACACTGTAGTTCCATAGATGACTATCTCGTTTCCAGTCCTGTTTATCTTAGTCCGTGGTGTAGGTTTAAGTTGTTTATCAGTACTATCACTATGTTATAAATATTTACATTCTTCAACTATTTCAACAGAATCTGATTCCTCAGGCAAATTACTCATCTGGCCAATGATATCTGCTTTGACTGGAAATAAATAAGGATATATAAAATGTATCACACACAAAAAATAAAATAATACATTTTTTTATGGTACTTGAACCCTGTGACGCAATTCCATGTTTTGGCTGAAAAAAACTTGTCAAATCGGAACAAATTTTATTATTTTTTAATTTAGCCACTTTACAAAAAGACAAATTACGATTCCAATTTGTCAAGTTTAATCCT